TAAATAAATGCATTAATTTTTATTCTATGTAACAGTTATACTGTTATACTGTTACATCTTAATCTTTGTAGCTGCTAGCTTATCATAGTAAAAAAGAAAATAATGTATAATTTCTCTTTATTCTGGTGATTTTCTTGATCATGAAAGCATTCTAGGGAACTTCCTGATACCCTTTTTAGAAAAGTTAGTCTTAAGTTGACATTTGAAAGCAAACCTTCACAGTTTTCTCTCCAATCAAATGGTCATTATGAAAAGCTGGTTTGAGGTATAAATTTGGTTTGATCCATAATGAATGGATTTGGGTCTCAAACATCTGGAATTTGGGGTGTCCATACTGGGTGTGGAGGTACAATTTGTAAAGATACAAAAAAAAAGTGGTTTCCAAACTTCTATAGAGCAATTATAAGTACAAATATAAATTACCTTTTACACTATGGTTCCAACATAACCCTCTTCTTTATATAATCTATCTTGCCTAAACATCAAAAACATGAATCATAAGTTCAATTTTTTTTTGTTTTTCACATTAAATCCATAAGGGATTTCATAAAAAATATTGACAATGATCAAAGAAGTCCATTTAGCCATCTCAACAATTTCCATCATCTTCCCCAACCATTACTTCATCCTTGGTCATATAAACATTTTGCTGCAATTATCATATGCATAAACAAAGTTATCATATTCAAAAACAAACAAAAACAAAGTCCCATGACTTTTTTCTCCTCTTGTTCTGATCTCTGGGCCACCATGGATAGTGTCTGTAGTCAAATCCAGACAAGAGACAGTTTCTTCTGTGCTACCCTGCTCTTGACACCTATGGAGATGCATACTGTATCTGCAAACTGGAGCCAAGATGCATTTATTCCCTCTTCAGCAATTTATATATAGATATGACCTCTTTGGGAACAGTCGCAGCTGCAAAGCTAGAATAATAATCTAAGTGGGATTGTTAGCATTTCTAACTTGGCAATCCAGCCATCACTGATTATCAAGAGGTATTTCCAGGCAGAATCTGTCCTTTTAGGAATAATATGGCCTTAGCCAGTATAGGTTGAATGCCCCAACTTTGGCTTTCTACTGATCAAGAACAACTTTAATGGATTTAATTTCTTTCGTCCAGCTATAATGAAAGAATACTCATTACTGACTTGATGTAATGGAATGTGTGGATGACCTTGGGGAAAAGATGCTTCCTGTGAAACAATCAGTCAAAAGAAGCAGGAGCTCCCAGTGGCATAATGATCAAAGAAAGAGATTTAGGAAGAACCTGCCCTAATGAATCAAGCAGTTAAAAGTGGTGGTGGGAAGTTTCTACTTTTAGACTTGAAAGATTCTGTTAATGCACTCTTATAATAAAGTAGAATTATCTTATCTAGTAGCACTTCCTGCCTGGTTTACCTGGAAGGACTGACATTTATATGGCAAGAAGGAGAAGAGTTTCTAATGGTTCATCTAGTGGTTCCAAGTAAATGTTAAACAATGCAAGACAGAAAAAGAAAACCTGCTAGATACCCTAGACCAGATATTGAGAAGTTATTTGGTTTACACCCAGGTCTATTTTTGGCACGTGAAAATCACTGCACATCAATGCTGCTAAAGCTCAGATCCATCAGGGAATCCTCTACAATGGTTGATTGTATTCAAACCTGCCAAAAATGACGAGGAGAGGTTAAAGCAACACAATGCACACTTTTGCAAGCACAGCAATCAGCTTTGTTGCCTTCTTGCATTTTCCCAGGTTTGACTCCCTAATTTCTGCTGCAGGCATTATTACAGAACAGTGGTTACATCATTTACCTACTTCCAGAAGATTAATTTTTTCTTCCCAGACCTGCCCACTTTTTGCTGTTCTTTTTTTATATTGTCCTTTGGTGCTCTTTCATCATTTTTGTTATCATTTGCTATATAAAATTTTTCATCCTGGCTTCACAATAGGCTTACTAACCCTTTTAAGATTACCAGGACTCTCCTGGGTAATTGGGGCTTGGAGGTTTACCTTCAAGGCTGTGCAGAAGAATTTGCTGTGCGTCTGGTGGGTTAAATCACTCAGATTTATTCTCAGTTGGTGACCAAGAGCTTACTTACCCAGTTATCCAGGAATAGTTTGATCCTGTCTGACCCAAGGGTCTTGGGCTTGGATTTGCCCCTCCTGACTGATCAAGGCTGCGTGGAAATTGACATGTGGGTCGGTCCTAGTGATGATTAATTCATCCTTGAGGGGGGGGGTGTTCCAAGCATCATTTAATGTGACACAGGTTCGTCTTTTCAAGAAGCCATTGCTAGACCCCATCATTCTGGGTAACGTTTGGCTACTCTCTCATCTTTTTGAGTTGAGAAAGTGGTGGCACTGCAGCTGCAGAGGATCGTAGATGTTACAGGTTATCTCAACCCCTTCTAGTCAGGTTTCAGGCCCTGATATGGGACAGAAATACAATAGCATTGGTTGCACTTTTGGATAATCTCTGGTGGGAGATTATCCTGACTCTTCTTGATCTCTTGTCATCCTTTGATAGCATCAATTATACTATCCTTTTTGATAAGCTCTGAGAGTTGGAGTGGGGAAAAGAGTTTTGTGCTGATTCAGCTCCTTCCTCCAAGGTTGGTTTCAATCGTTGTTGATAGGGGCAACATGTCCAATTTATGGCTCCTGCTTTGTGGGGTGTGGCAGGGCTTGGTGCTCTCTTTGCTTTCTTTCTTTCTTTCTTTCTTTTTAAAAAAAGATCTACATGAACTTGCTGAATAAGATTATCCATCAGCATGGGATGAGGCGCCAACTGTACATCTCCATCCTGGGTGAATTAAGTGATGCTGTGGATGTTTTGTGCAAGATAGAATGGCTGTGGGTGGTGGCTCTTTGGTATCTGGGGACTTATCATATTTGGTCTTGGTTAGGGTTGCATTGCTTCTGGACCCAGGACTCCTGCTCAAGGAGCAGGTGGCAGTCATGGCTAGACTAACACACAACTTGTGTTGTGCACCAGCTGCACCCTTTCCTAGATTGGAAAGCTCTTCTATCGATCATTCATGCCCTCGTCATTTGGACTATTGCAATGCACACTATGGGCAGCTACCCTTGAAAAGTATCCAGAAGCTGCAGCTTGTGAGAATGTGGCTTCACTAGCAGTCTTAGGTGCCATTAGGCCAGCTGATGTAGCACCTCTTCTGGGTGAGCTACATTGGGTGGCAGTTTGCTTCTGGGTCCAATTCAAGGTATTTGTTATGACCTTTAAAGCCCTTGATGGCAAGGGCTGGGGTTACCAGAGCAATCATTTCATTCCAATTATATTGACCTATCTCATTCAGTCAGTGCATGTTATGGACCTTGTTGGCCAAATAATTTAACTAGGTAGGGTCTATGAGGAGAACCTTCTCTGTTGCTGCCCCTGCCCTATCAAGTCTTGCCCCCAGAGATAAGGTTGGCCACCACTCTCTTAGCCTTCCAGAAGAGTATTAAGATCTGGTCTGTCAGCTAGCATGGGTTTACAAAAGTCATGCACAAGCCTGGGGGTGGTTGGTGTCTTGAGGGCACTCGCTCTGCCTTTTAAACTTGTAAATGAGCATCCAGTTCAGCAGCCCCAGATAAAATGGCTGTGGAGTGTAAGAATAGGAGCCAATCAAAGTAACGGAGTTTGCGTTAAAGATAGTAAAATGCAGCAGGCAATCTGGTCAGCACAATCCAGCACAAAATTATATTTTACAGAGTAGAAAAACACAGGGGGAGAGGTCTTTCCTTTCCTTTCCTTTCCTTTCCTTTCCTTTCCTTTCCTTTCCTTTCCTTTCCTTTCCTTTCCTTTCCTTTCCTTTCCTCTCCTCTCCTCTCCTCCCCTCCCCCTCCCTCTCCCTCTCTCTCTCCCTCTCCCCCTCTCCTCTCCTCTCCTCTCCTCTCCTTTGTCCTGCCCTGTCCAGGCCTGCCCTTTTCTATTTAATGACCTGCTGTGGTCAAATTTGCAATAGTCAGGTAGTTTACCTGTAGGCTCTGTTAGAAGTTTCTTAAATGTTTCAGCTGCTTCTTTTTATTTATTTACTAGCTGTACCCGGCCACGCGTTGCTGTGGCTCAGTCTGGTTAAATGGAAAAGAAAGAAAAGAGAAAGCGCACGTTTGTAATATGTTTAATTTCACAATGCTTGTGGGTATACAATATTTTTTGTTGTTCCATTGTCTGTGCAGATATAGAGATTGTCTGGTTTTCCGACTCTAGAACACGCAACATATAATTGTCCATGTGAGAAGCAATCTGTGTCTAGATCTAAACTGCACAATTCTAAAGATTGGCCCTGAGCTTTGTTAATGGTGATTGCAAATGCCAATCAAATTGGGAATTGTAATCTCTTAAATTGAAATGGCATATCCGTTGGAATCATAGGAATGTGAGGAATGAGGACATCTTCACCTTTGAAAGGTCCTGTCAAGATTGTTGCTTCTACGACGTTGCTCATTAAAGCATGTTTTATGCTTTAAAGAGCATGTTTTTACCTGTCACAGGTGTGTCATCTATATAATAGTAGGTATATAGAAACACGCGCGTATTCGAATGCAACGTTTTGTCAAAATTTCAAAGCAATCGGTGAAGAACTTTCAGAGATTTAAGATTTTGAACAAACGAACATTTACATTTTTATTTATATAGATTTAATTTCTGTAGCCTATTTTGAGTATACTCGAGCAACAGAAGACACCTTGAAATAACAATAACAATTTGAGGACAATGACTGACATCCTGCTGCTGTCAGTGATCAACAGTATTGGATCAACATTTTCCTCAGCCTGATAAATGACAACTGTTCAAGGATCTGCTATATGAAGGGAGAGAGAAAAACCAAACCAATCCAAATAAAAATAACCAGACCAATTCTTGTGGTTGAAAATAAGGTAATAACTCAATTTGGACCCAATGACAAGGAAATGTATTTTATACATTTATACATACAACCAAGAAGCCATCATAGAAATGAAAGATTTAAGAAATATATTTTGGTTATTCCTTATATAAGTACAAATGGGCGACTTCAGGGTACTTTCATGTCCTCGTTTTCATAGCCCTTTAATAAAGGAAACAATGTTTCCAACTGCTGGTTTTGTATATGAAAATTCAAAAAATCCACTGTTGATAAATGTTATAAATCCATGGATTCCCTCTTTTAGATGATTCCAAGTCACAGACACTCCATTGTCTTCTAGTCGCTTTTTGTAGAGCAGTCCATCGTCCCGAAGTGGGTCATATTCACAGGTCAAAATGTAGGTCTCAGGAAGTTGCTTTACAATGTCATCCTCACTGATAATGGATGACTGCATTGTCTTTTCATTCAGTTGAGATCCTTCATACAGTTCTTTTGAAAATGGAGCTGCCATTGGGCGATCATAAGCTCGGGCTTTAAATTCTTCGGGGATAAGATCCGCACTGATCCATTTCTTGAATTTCTCCTTCATGTCTTCAGGAACATGGCCATTCCTTGCTATTTTTTCTTTGTCTAGATGGTCGTTCCCAAGAAATTTTAAACCAAAGCTTATAATCCGCTTTCTGGTTAGAAAAGGACCGTGATAGTTTTGAAGATAAGATGGTAGCATGAAATCCATTCTCTGCAGGAAAGGATATATCAAGATCTGTGCTCGGATTTTTGGCAGGTTCCCTGTTTTTACCAATTCTTCACAAATCCGAGCAACCATTGTTCCACCACTGCTATCTCCAGCAAGAACAATGTGATTTGGATTGACTCCATAGTCTTTGGAGTGTTTCATAAAATACCAGGTGGTAGCTAGGCCATCTAACAACTGGGCAGGATGTTGGTGCTCAGGACCTAAACGATACCTGCAAGAACGAACAGACTTTGTCAGACCTTGAAATTTTCTAGGAAGGAATTAGGTACTCTGAGATAGTCCTTGGAAACATTATTGGGTTCCAATAAAAAGATGCAGTTTATCAATTGTTTAACTTTAGTATATTCTTACTATTTCGATAAGGAGATGGCAGTTGAACATCTTGTACTTTCACTGCTGATAGGAACAGCAATTCCCTTCTCCATGGATAGATTCTGCCAGTGCATAATTGCTCTGGAGATTCCTTCCACTTCTTTGTTTTGGAACAAAAGAAGGCTCAGAAGGATAGAGCTACAGAGCCACATACAGGAAAATAAGGAGGAAATATTAGTCCCCCTTATTGACTACAATAAGTCCTCACTTCTTTTTATAAGGAGGAAATATTATTCCTCACTCGCTGACTACAATTGGGAGTGGCAATTTCGTTCCAAAATGAAATGTCATGTAGCCGTGCCAACTTACAATGTGGGTTCTGCTGCGGTTTGTTTGTTTGTTTGTTTATAAAATTTATTGGCCTCCCATCTTATAATAGGGTAATTCTGGGTGGTGAAAACTAAACCATAAAAAGTTAAAAACCAACATTAAAACCAAAGACACACACTGGGAGGGTGGGGCAGAGTGGGAGGGGGAGATGGGATCTGTTATTACTCAATCAATCAACCACTTCCATTGTGCTGATCCCCCACTGGGCTCCAAGCTGACTGGCAGAGCCACGTCTTTAGGCCCTTACAAAAAAGATAGCAGGGTTGGGGGCAACCTCACATTGGGTGGGGGCAAGATGTTCCAGAGGCCAGAAACAACAGCAGAAAAGTCCCTCCTCCTGGACCTCGCCAGCTGGAATAATTGGGCTGATGGGACTTGCAGCCATGCCTCCTCCACTGGCATGAGTGGTACAGGCCAATCCCAATGGGGTGAGATGGTTCCTCAAGTAACCTGGACCCATACCAAGGTTGCTAAGCGAATCACACATGGTCAAGCAAGATATCATATGACTGCAACTTGTGACTTTCTGTCAGCTTCCTCACTGACTTTGTTTGTCAGAAGCCAGGTGTGAAGGTAGCAAATGGTGATCACATAACTGAGTGAATGTTGTGATAGCCACAATTTGAAGGAACGATTGTAAGTTTTTTCAGCATTGTCATAACTTGGAACGGTTGAAAAACAAATGGTCTGTAAGTAAGGACTACCTGTATTGCATTATTATATTATCAGACCCAGGGTCCAAAATAAGCAGGAAAATGAAACAGAAGAGACTGTCATGATGATATGGTGTTTACAGCTATTTGAAATCAATTAAGTACTTCCTTAATTTCTTCTCAAGGATAATGTCTTTCTGCCACCAGGGGGCAGAATAAGGGAAACTCCTGATTTCCTAACTAATTTAGGCAATACTTTCCAAAGATGTCTCTAAGATGCAGGCAAAATAAATTTGGATTGGTGAACTTGATTTGCACAAGACAAAAAGGGTGTCATCGTATGGCAGTTTTGGCAAAGTTACATAATGTGCAGTATTTTGTTCTGCAGATCCTTAAAGTACTTTGCATAATTTACTCTGCTTCTCTTGGAAGATAAAATCCAAGGAAGGGTGCAGGGCACTGATCCCTTTTTACTAGCTTAGTTGGGAAAGAGAAGGAATTAGCCCATTTCCTTTTCCCTTTTACTTTTATGACTGGAGGAGTGGGAAAGAAATGAATGATGCCTCCATGGCAGAGTCTTCCTTAGGAATTTTTGGAGAATAGCAAAACTGTGTCCTGTGCAAATCCAAATGTTCCTTTGATCTGCTCTGAATATGTTGCTTTGCCTTTCCTGATGTTGAAACAACACTGATGGAGACAAAAAGTCATTGATGGTTGTGTGATAGTTGGGGGGGCGGAGAGAGAACCAAGAGACTGAATTTCTCTTTTAGGCTGAAAATATATTCTGTGGTACCTGGGACGATCTTTCAGGGACACAGAATTTCAGCCAAACTTATTAATTATTATCTTTATTATTTTTACCCCCTTTTTCATCAAGCAGTGCCCAAACTTAACAACTGTAAATACAAAATACAATGCAAAAATATTAAAAGATGCAATAAAAATAAGATAGGCAAAGCATGTAAATAAAATCACTTACTCTACATATACAACCACTGAATCACTTTCTTGAGCAAGATAGCAGCATAAAGCACTATAAGTTTCTAGGGGAAAAATAAGTATTAATGTTCAGGTACTTCTGCATTGCAAACATGTTATTGATATTGTTTTGACTTATGGCCAAATCAAGGTAACCCTATCCTCAAGTCTAAAAAGGAGTTAGAGTCAGAAGGAGGTGTTTGCCATTGGTTTACATATTTACAATTGAAAGAAAGATTTAAATTAGATAAAAAGAGTTCTGGATTTGATTTTTATGGAAAATGAATTGGATAGCCTACTGCTGAAAGAAGTGCAATTCGTAGTGATGAGCATATTGTTACTAAGATTTATAATTTGCTATTGAATTTGCATATGGAGAAGGAGGATGTAAACCATTGTATGATTCTGTGGCAAAGAATTTTGTATGTCATATAATGCTTGAACAATGGGAGAATGTGGAAAGATCTTTTAGACGAAAGGTCTAACATTTACATTGAATTATAATTTTAAATACAATAAAAAACATTTTATAAGATGAAATATCATTGGTATCTAACACCGGATAAGTTATCAAGAATGTATAAAGGTATTTCAAATGAATGTTGGAAATGGAAATGGAAAGATGGAACTTTTTATCATTTATGGTAGACATATGATAAAACAAAGAAATATTGGAATAGGATTCACATCTTAATACTGAAAATTCTTAAAGTGCATATAAAGATAAAACCAGAGACTTTTCTTTTAGGCCTAATGGATAAAGAACTTGAAAAAACTTTGGAACTTTGATGTTATATATGTTGACGGCAGCAAAATTACTTTATGCACAAAAATGGTACTGGCAAGAGAGCATTCAGCTGTTCCCAAGCCATCACAAACAAAGCTCAAAGCACTGAGGATATATCTTATCCATATCCATTTTGATGTTTTTCCTTTGCAAATGTTTCTTTTACTTTTGCTCAGAATACAATGTTCTTTTCTATGGCTATGCTCACATATTATTGGATGCTTTAATTCTTCTGCTGTAACTGGACAGATGACTATTTCTGAATCAATTAACTTTTGCTTTGAAGTTCCTTTTTTGTGCCATAGAACTAAATGGAACCCATTCCATAGGAAGACCCCACTTTATCAGAGTATTCCAACATATTGCTTTTAAATGATCTTCTAATAAGGTGACCAACTTTTTTACAATGAAAAGGAGGACACAAATAAATTGAAGAAAAAAATATTGTAAAAGCTGGCCCGACCCATGGAAGGTCAACCGCCCGCCGCGCCCCCACCCGCAGCTGCCCCGCCAGCACTGCTGCCCCGCCGTGGGCCCCGGGGCTCCCAAAGCATCAGCCACGCTGGCTCTGGCCCCGGGGGGCAGCCCGCCATCGACACATCCCACCTGCAGCCGCCCCGCCAGCACCACCACCCACCCTGCGCAGCCCCGTGTAGAGCTGGCTCCGTGGCTCCCAAAGCACCAACCGCGCCGGCTCCGGCCCCAGGGGGCAGCCCACCATACACACACCCCCGCCTGCAGCCGCCCCACCAGCATCACTGCCCACCCTGCACAGCCCTGTATAGAGAGGGCCCCGCGGCTCCCACAGCACAGGGGGCAGCCAGCCGCTGCCGCCCCTCACACCCCCGCCTGCAGCACCCCCGCCACCCCTGCCTCTTGCGCCCGCAGCCATTATTGCCCTAGCAGAGCTGAAGATCAAGAGAAACTTACCGCTCCAGTCTCCTCCAGGTATCTTCGGAACTAACTAGGAGATGGTGTAGTTGGGTAGCAGGGAGGGGTGCAAAGTTCCTGCCAATTTGCCTTTGCTGCAGACAACTTGCATGTGCAAAGTTTGCCGGCTGGGTGTTTTGGCGTGCTCAGCAGCAATTCGTATTGGCTTTCGAAAGCCAGTAGGGGGAGTAGCACAGCTCATGCAAAAGTTGAAAAAAATAATCAAAAAAAGGTGCCGGAACGCCATTCTTAGCGTTCTATGAGAAAAAAAAGATTAGTCTTTTGCAGATTAGTCTTCAAATATCAAAAAGGAGGACATGTAGGAGGACACTTTTCGAGGGAGGACAGAACTTACAAAAGGAGGACTGTCCTCCCTAAAGGAGGACGGTTGGTCACCTTACTTCTAACTCAGTTGCTTATTGGAAAAGATAAGCCGAGATAGAACCTAGGGCCAGATTTGGCCATCATTACCAAACTAGGTATCATTAGAAATTGGGACAGCAACATCATATAGATAGAAGAGAGTATTTGTAGCTCAGGGTTGTACTGTGGGGTCCTTGGTGTTTTCTGAGCTTGGTGGTTTTCTTGCAGACATTTCATTATCAAACTAGGTAACATCTCTTCTGTCGATATGATGTTGCTGCCCCACTTTCTAATGTCCCAATTTCTTCTCTGCATTGCGTTTTCTGTTTTGAACAGACCACCTCATTGAAAGGGTACTTGGGTAAGAGTATTTTGATTGTTGAGTTTAAAAAAAAGGTCACGCAAGAACTACTTGACTGATTTTTGATTTGCAAGTCATTTCGAAAATACAGATACAAACGGATACTTTGATTATACCGTGAGGGCTGCTCCTTTGGAAATCAGGTTGATGAGTGCAAAGTTGCATATTACACATTTGTATTATAGGAAGAAGCCATCAGCCAGAGAAATTATTTTTCTGCTCTCTATTATAGTCTTTGAAGCATCAATGAGTCAATACAATATATGTATTTCTAAGCTCAAAAGGAAAATTTTGAGTTCCAGTCCTAACCGGTTTAGAATCTATCTATCTGGTAGGGTATCTGGCGGATTACAAATCTAATAGACGGCTTCTAATATTGAGCAATCCAGATCTTTCTAAGGCTTGTGTCTAGGCTTGTGAAAGACCACTTTCGATACAGATGGAAAAGAATATTTTCCTGGGCATTAACTTTAGATTTGCATGGCAGTATATTTCTATCATTGTTCCTCAGCTGCATTCCAATTTCAGTTCAGCTTTTGTACTCAAATTATTTGGACATCCAGCAAAGATGGATGTAGCATGGTGGTTTAAGCACATAGCTAAACACATTCCTAATTCTGGGAAAGCCATCCTTTTTCTTTCTCCCTCATTCGCTTTTTCTACAATACTACAGATTACAAATATGTTTCATCTATATGGATTTTAAAAGGAAAAGTTAATATTATACGCAGAGCTTTTTTTGTCATAGAACGTCCAGAACGGAGTTCCTGCACCTTTTTGGGATGGAACCTTGTGGGGTAGGCAAGGCGGGTTGTATGATATGTGTGAGTTCCAACACCTTTTTTTTTTTTTACAAAAAAAGCACTGATTATACAAAATATCTTACTTTTGGATCCAAACATGCCACATCCTCCGTGAAATATGAGCACTCCTTTTCTTAGGCCAGGATTTATCTTTTGGGGCTGGTAAATCCTTACTGGTACATTTTCAAACGTTGCATCTGTAATTAAGAGCTTTGATTCCTTCACCTGTGGCATCAAACTAATTACAAATCTTATAAACCAGACTTGAGTACAGATGCCTAATTTCTCAAAAATCTTCCCCTGTTTTAGATTAAGAAAAGATTGGTAGTTTAGAAATTATGAATAAAAAGAATTACAACAAATTCTAAAATGAACAATAATCTTAATTCATAAATATGTTTCATTTGTTGCCCAACAGAAACAACTTTGATGGGCATAAAGTGCTAATGATAATTATATTCAAACTAGTTCAATGCAAGTTCCCCCCCCCTCAAACATCAATATAAGGCAATCCTTGACTTACAACCCCTATTGAGTCCCAATTTTTTCTTTTTAAGTGAGACATTGTTTAAGTGAGTTTTGCCCCATTTTATGACCTTTCTTGCCTCAGTTGTTAAGTGAATCACTGCAGTTGTTAAGTTAGTAACCTGGTTGTTAAGCGAATCTGGCTTCCCCATTGACTTTGCTTGTCAAAAGGTCACATGACCTTGGGACACAGCAACAGTCATAAATATGAACCCATTGCCAAGCATCTGAATTTTGATCACGTGATCATGGGGATGCTGCAAAAGGCGTAACTGTGAAAAACGGTCATAAATCGCTTTTTTTCAGTGCTGTTGCAACTGTGAATGGTCATTAAATGAATTGTTATAAGTCGAGGACCACCTGCATTTATAATACTTATACCTTTTATACAAATAGCTTTAGAACATTTTTTTAAAAACCCATCATAAGTTGCTTTGTAAATCAGCATTTTCCAAACTCTGTGAGGACTGGGGCTGGGTGAACAAATCTAAGAGAAAGCATGCTCCTGTTTGCTCTGTATGGATGTGAATAGCTGTTGGTGCTAGTCTGGGATTGTAGGAGCTGTTGTTGTGTGTCCATTAAGACAAGCCCTGGGCCAGGAGCAGTGATCCAGTTTTGGATGGGCTGCACAAGTACTTTCCTGCTCTGCTTGAGCAAGTTGACAAATGGATTGTCCAGGCAGGGCAGGTGCCTGGTACAGGTATAGTCAACACAGCCTGATGTTATTATTTATAAATTAATTCAAGGGGTGATAGATCACAAAGTTTGATATATATTGGTATAAATGATTGTGGTCAGATCTGCCATGTTCAAAAGGGTCTGGGCTACTGAAGTGAAATTTTAAGCAATTGAAATCCATTATAGGCAGACAATCTTGGTCAATTTTGGAAAAAGCTGTGAACCAAAGTTTTCCACTAAAGGCAACTCATTCAAGGCAGACTATAATTCCTAAGTTTGTGTCAGTCGGGATAGGGTAATTAGTGTACCCAAGATTAAATTCTAATTTAACTTAAAGTTATACTCTAGAATTTATCATATAAACATTTAATTTAAAGATGGTTTTTTCCCTCAGAAAGAATGTTACCCACTATATACAGATGGAAACAACAAACAGTATTGTGTTAAAAGTGATTATAATTAGGCATTTCTGTTACCATATTGAATTAATTTACNGTAATTAGTGTACCCAAGATTAAATTCTAATTTAACTTAAAGTTATACTCTAGAATTTATCATATAAACATTTAATTTAAAGATGGTTTTTTCCCTCAGAAAGAATGTTACCCACTATATACAGATGGAAACAACAAACAGTATTGTGTTAAAAGTGATTATAATTAGGCATTTCTGTTACCATATTGAATTAATTTACTTATTTTAAAAGCACTGTTCTGTTAGAAGAAAAGAGTTATGTTTATGTAGTTTTGGTGTATGGTGTATGGTGAAAAAAAAATAAAATAAAATAAAAAGAGTTCCAAAAAAAAAATAAAATATTATATGTCCGTTACCTTATACAGATAGGCCTTGACTTACAACCATTTGTTTTGTGACTGTTCGACATTACAACAGCACTGGATGATTGTTTTTCATATTTATGACTGTTGCAGCAGCCCTGTGGTCACGTGATCAACATTTCGATGCTTGGCAACTGTGATCCCCTTTTGCAAATCTCTGACAAGCAAAGTCAATGGAGAAAGCCAGATTCACTTAACAGCCGTGTTACTAACTTAATGACTTCACTGAACTGTGGCAAGAAAGGTCTTACAATGAGGCAAAACTCACTCAACAACTGTCTCAATTAGCAACAGAAATTTTGGGCTCCATTGTGATTGTAAATTGAGGACTGCCTGTACAATATAATTCTGAGTAATTAACCACCAAAACATCTCCTGCCAAGGATAAAACCGTCATACACAAGCAAGATGCTGTAGCACTCACAGACTAAGTACACAGGTGATGAATTCAACTCCTAGCCTAGCCTAAGATCTGGGAGAAAGCCAGGTCTTTATGACCTTTAGGAATTTTTCATTTCAAGACATGTTAGTAGAATACATGGATAAAAAGTAAAAATAAATTTGGCATACCAAAAAAAGCATCTACTATAATCAGGGAGCTTTAATGCCATCAAACTGGTTTGACAAGCTTCATCTGAGATTGCCTCACTCCATTTCTTTCCTGGGATAATCTCTCCTATTGTTCCTCAACCCACATTAAATACATTAACCAATTATTCTCAATGAGAGCTCTCTACTCTTCTGGAACTTCATTTCTAGCACACTGTCTTGATGAGAGGTCTTACAGTTGTCATGGTGGCTCCTGTAACTTTGGCTTTTGAACTTAGCAGATGGATACAGATCTTGGCTTCTAACCAAAACAGAGATTCAGAGATACAGGATATAACTATTCCTCTAGAAACAGATTTATCAATCATGTACAAGGATCCCAGATCGTATATGAGGGAAGGAAGGAAGGAAGGAAGGAAGGAAGGAAGGAAGGAAGGAAGGAAGGAAGGAAGGAAGGAAGGAAGGAAGGAAGGAAGGAAGGAAAGATCTTCTTACCAAATAAAATGTCCATATTATCACAAAATGAAGCAGCCAGACTTTGAAAGGCTCTTTGTCACCCAGATGAAGGTCTATTTTCCTGGATGCCAAATAAGGAATCAAAAAATATTTCACGAACCAGCTCTGAAGAAGTGAAAAACCAGTGAACAACTGCATGTTCAGTGACTTACAAAGGTCTGAACTAAATTACAGGTATTGCCTGAGAATGATTGTAGCAATTACCATAGCTTAAGCAAGCTTTCATCTAAAGCCAGTTAAGAATGAGTAAGATTTTGGAATGGAAGCATTTATAGCGTCGGGAGGTGGAATTTATTATCTGATGATCACCCTTTATTAATGTGTAGGAGTGTCATCACAACTAGGAGAGGATTGCAATAGAGCAAGCTAAATGAATTCATCCTTCTACCTGGTTGATACATTTCATATTTGTAGCCACAAGGCAATAATTATAATTAGTTAGGCTGTTCCACTAATAAGAGAGATCCAGATTCAAAAGATGTAATGCAATTTGAAGCTTAACTGGATATTATTTAGCACAGCAGGGTTGCATCCTGTCTCCCTCCCCTTTTACTTTCTATATCAACCCCCTGATCGATCTCTTACAGAACTCTGATCTGCATCCGTCCAACCTAACACATCGCAAAATCCCGATTCTTCTATATGCTGACGATGCGGTCATTATTTCACTGAAAGAAAGGACTGAAGAGAGCAATTAGGACAACACTTGGCTACTGCAGACAGAACAGGTTGGTCCTTAACTTTGATAAATCAAAAATTTTAGTTTTTGCTAAAAGACCAAGCCAATACTCCTGAAAAATAGAAGGACATAGTTTGGAACAGGTTAGAACATTTAGATACCTTGGGGTGGTTTTCCACTTGCAAGGGACATGGAAGGCACACCTGGATCATACATTGCAAGCAGCCAATAGGTCCTTAAATGCAACCAAACATTACTTTTACACAGGCAGAGATCAATTAGTACCTGCTGCCTTAAAACTTTTCGAGGCCAAAACATTGGCGCAAGTCCTATATGGGGCACAAACAGGAATCCTTGCAAAGAAAAACTTGCTTGAAACCATACAAATCAAATTCCTGTGAGCCATCTTAGCTGCACCCAAAGGAACCCCAAATGCCCAATTAAGAATTGAGACAGGAATACCCCAAATCCAGGTAAGAGCCTGGAAGATGATGATCATTCACTGGCTTAAAATGCATTTCTTTCCAGAGGGACTGTCCCTGTTAGTGCTGACTGACAACTTCCCTCCCCCCTGGAAGCAGGCGATAGATCATAAACTGGGCTTTTATGGGCTCTCATTGGTATTCTTAATGTCCCTAGGCTTTGACCAAGCAAAGCAAGTAGTATCCAATAGAATAAAGGACATGGAATTCCAAGGAGAACTAAATAGGTTGCCTTGCCACAGTAAGGATAGAATCAAACAGGGTGTGTGGGAATCGGCAAGATATCTGAATGATCTGACCTTCCCAAAACAAAGAATAGCTTTCTTCAGAGTCAGATTTAACATTCTTCCCTCAGCACTCCTACAGGGCAGGTATAAGAGAACACCAATAGCAGAACGGGTATGTATATGTGGTAAAGGAGAAGTCGAAGACATCTCACATGTTTTATTGTACTGTGAGTTATACCGAGTTTATAGGACAATATATATTCTCCCCTTATTAGAGAGATTGCCAGGGAGGGCAGACAATTTTTATGTAGGCTTTCTCCTCCAGGACTCAAAGCCTTCTATCACGCATGCAGTGGCAAAATACTGTGTTGCGGCAATGTCCACAAGAAAAGAATTGGTTACAGATTTATAGCCGTCAACTTGTGCCAATTTTTTGGAGATATCTCTAATAATTTTTGGAACATTATATTTACTCACACACTTATCGGCTTTCCACTCACTTAAACTAGGGAGTGACCCTAACATTTTGAGAACATGTATTTTCTTAACAGGGATGTTATTATTTACTATTAATGTCAGTACTTTTTTTTTCTTAATATATTGTAAAAAATGATGTCTATTGCTGGTCTATGACCGTAATAAAGTTATTATTGTTGCTGAGATATTATTTAGTATTTATTGGGAACTTTCCAGTAAGGAGTTTTCCTTTTGTTCTATCCCAGACATTGACCCTTTTTGTGAAACATGTCCATAGACTTTCTATCTCACTGCACTCCATACTCACTATGGCGCAATGAGGGTTGAATCTCTACTTCTGTAAGTATAGGAACCATTTTAATAAATCTTTATTAATTATGGCATCTTCCTTGGGGTTCACCTTTTTGGGAATCCAACCCACAACAGCCATAGCCAGCAACAGT